TCCTGCCGGGGCTGCCCGTCCCCCCGCACCCTCCCGGGGCTGCGGGCTGTAGGATGTCGCTCCCCTTTCCCCTCGCTGCCCGTGCCGAGGCAGGACCCCGGACTCAACACCAGCTGCAGCAGAGGTGTGGAGCGCTGCCCCGCGGGGCCCGAGGTCCAAGGCGCAGCCGGCTGAGCCACCGCAGCAGTTCTTTGCAGAGGTCTTGTGTTTACCCTGGACCCGGATAACTCTGGGACTGAAGTCTGGCAGAGGTTTGCAGGGCAAACCTCGGTACCTGCAGGCCCTGGCACCAGGTCACGGGAGCTCGGTCTCGCTGTGGGATGAGGCTTCTTGCGTTTTGCAGCTCTCTTGCTTAGAGAGCAGTCAACTTGGCCTACCCAGTAAAGATAGTTCCTGTGGCTCCTGGCATTGCATCTTTATTAGGTGGTGTTGGAGGGAAGGGGAAGCTCTGCTGTTAGTGAGGCCACCGCTCCAGTTTCTTACAGGTGACGCCGCAGGATCTGAACCATGCTGGCAGTGCAGGAAATGCCATCAGATGCAGCTCATTTTCACATCCTTCCCCGAGCGGGAGAACAGGGTTTGTTTACACAGGGGTTTTGTTTTGCTTTATTTCAGCCCTGCCTTTGCTGAGCACGAGGGAAGGCAAAGGCAAGGGAATTCACCTGCAACTGGCCCCAAACAAACCTCCTATCTCTAAACAATGGAAAACTCTGCTCTGGATGCAAACTTTAGTCCTAAACCTGCTGCCTGAGGAGCAGACCCTGCAGTTTGTGTCCTGGAGGATAGATTGCATCCCCACAGAGAGCAGAGAGGTGGGGAATTTAGCCACAGACTGTTGCTGGAAGGACTTTGTTGCCATGGGGCCTCTTGAAAGCCACACACACAAATGTGGCTGAGCTGAGGCAGGATCAGGTCCTTGGAAGCTAGCTTGAGAATAACAGGCAGGAATACGGCTGGCATGTGTGAGCGCTCAGGGAGCTTTCATCAATTTCAGATGCTGCTCTGTGTCTGTCTTAAAAAATCAGTACATTTTCTGATTAAAAATAAAACCCTACACGTCATGACTCCAGCAATGCAGGCTGGGCTGTTGTATTTATTTTTAAAGAGAACAATATAACAGCTGGGTTATTGTGACACCTCCTGCATATTGTGCAGTAGCTTTTTCACTTCAGCATCTCCATATTAGTGAAAACTGTGACAGCTTCATGCCAAGGATTATTAATAGTGCAGGCAGGCTTTATGTCCCTGCAGAATAAGGGTTGGAAAACAGGGTAGACAGTCTCCCCCCAGCTGGTCAGCATCCTGGTCCCCTTTTTGCATGTAGAGAAACTGAGCCACCCTAGCTTGGGCTTTGCACAAGGGCGGTGAGATGCAGTTTGTAATTGCTGTGTGCAGGAGACCAGACTATGTCACCGCTGTCTCCTTGCAAAGCTAAGGCCTGCCTCTCTGGTGAGCTCTACCTTTGGTGGGAGGCACTGGAGCAAGTCTGGAGCATGTCTCGTGTTCCCTGCCAGGCTTGTCACCTTGCTGCCATGTGGGAGAAGGAAGGGACAATGGGATGCAGAAGGGTTTGGCCCTCAGCTAAGTGATGATTCAGATATGCAGTGCCTGGGTTGATAGCTTTACCATCCCTGGCCCCCAGCACAGAACAGACTGGCCTTGCAGGTAATAGTCCCCATTCCATTATAGGAATTAGGTATCTATTACAGAGATGATTATGTTAAGTGCAGAAGAAATGTGCAGCATGCAAATACCGCACTTTAAATCACGTGTTCAAAATCAGGGGCTGTGGGCTCTCTCCTGTACTCTGCAGTGGGAGTGCTGGTGCAAGGTCCGTCACTGTGAGCCCATGCATGTGGCCACTGAGAAGCTTCTGGGCTGGGCCAGCTCATCCCATGGGGAGCACCGGAGCTTGGGATCCTCTTGCACGGCTGCTGCCTGTGAGGTTTGCACCATTCAGACCGCTCCTGCTTCGTTTGCAGAAGGGCTCCCGTGTTGTTCTAAGAAGTTACTCCTTTTAGTTAAAAAAACCCTTTGAGCATATGTGTGGGCCAGGAGGCTCATGTTTACTGCTAGTTTGGAAGAACAGACTATGTGTATTCCTGCAGCAGCTAAAGACCTAAACCACAATGTCAACTGCCCTGTGCATCATGTCATACATGCACATAAGAAGAGATGGCCCCTAAATACACGGCAGGTTGTTTCTCCCATTTTACAGACTTTGCCCACATTAGAGGTGCTGAAGGATGATCTGGTGTGCTGTGCCTGCAGAGCGGTTGCTGTCTATTAATATCTTCCCATCCAGAATATTGCAGGGGTTGGTCATAATGCAGAGTAGGACAAACTTTGAGATGAGATCTCCAGAGTGGATGGATGCCTTATCAGTCCCCTCAGGTAAGACAAGGAGGGCAGCCGGGGCCAAAGGTGCATTCCTTACCCAACGGTGGCTGCCTTTTAGCACAGCTATGTACACACTTCTGTGAGAGACTCAGGAATATCTGTCTGCCTGCCAAGCCAGGTAGCATCTCTGCTCTCCTTTTCCAGCTCACCCCTTCATTGCTCATCTAGATATTATAATTTATTCTTTAACTTGAATGAAATTTTTTCCAGTTGAGATAAAGCAGCAAAGTTGCCACATAGCAACCTGAAACAACAGGTATTCCTAATGATGGTACTGCCAAAGCCATGAAGCATTTGTCCTTGATACAAACAGGACCGGGCTCTTCCTGTGGTTGATGGAATTCTTCAAACAACAATAATAATTACAAGAGTAGATTGAACTTCCCAGAAGATGAGGCAGAGGCACTCCTCCTGGGCCCCGGGCTGCCAGTATGAAGTTTTCTTCAGCTCAGCTGCACGCACCCTCCACGGCTTTGCCACACAGCCCCCCAGCTCGGACCCCGGTCTCCAGAAAGGGCTTGCAGTCCCTCTCCAAGGCACGTGACAGGGGGAATGGCTGGGCAGCCGCACTGCCAGCTCACTGGCGGCTTTGGCCCCAGTCAGGCTCCCCAGCAGCGGGGGGGCAACAGGAACGTGCATCTCAAGTCCTCCCTTGGTCACAGTGAAAGCACAGGAGCCCTGCTTACACTGCCCTGCGCTGCCTTCCCCTCTCTTTGCAACAACTCGCAGTCGCTCCCTTCCAAGCGGGAAATGAAATGTTCCTTTATTGGCTTTTATGTTGGCTACAAAATGTTCCCTTCCCTCCCCCCCCCCTTTTTTTCCCTTACTTTCTTCCAGGAAACACACTAATTTATGGTATAATCTTGGCAAATCCCAATCCAGGGGAACACAAACTCGCTTGTGCCTGGTAAATGGGCCTGTCTCCAGCCAGGCAATGTATCTGCATCTGAAGACAGGGGAATTATAACCTTGCCCAAGCAGTGGGCCTGCATGTGTCAGCAGGGGTGAATATGGCCTGGGCATGGCAGCAAAACAGCACATGGAGGAGCCTGCCTTAAACACAGCCTGCTAAAAGGAAGATTCCCACAGCCCACCTCAGACCTGGCTCAGGAAATGCGGGTTTTTCCAGTGCAGGAAGGGAGCTCTGAGCGCGTGTGTAGGAGCTCACCAAGAATCAGTATTTGTTTGCTACAAGGCTGTTTTATGGCAACATTGGAAAGATGCAGCTGAAGTGGATGGCTCCCCCCCACTCTCCCAACACCTTGGCCAGGAGCAAGGTCATGCCAGGCTCTCGCTGCACCCAGGGCAGGGTCAGGGTTGGGCTGAGCTTGCAAGTGGGTTTCCAGGGAGCGTGTCTGCTCTAGGGAAGCCGGGCCACCCTTTGGAGGGGCCGCAGAGGGCAGCCAGGGACTTGGCTGCTGACATTGATAGCTTAGTCGAGGGCCTGACACTGCACAAGGACTTGGCATGGGAGGCTGGCAAAGGGGTCTCCAGGCCTGGACGACCAGGACACGGGGGCTGGAGGAGCCACTTCCACCTCTCCCGTGGCACTCTGCTTGGCATCAGTCTTCCAGGGAGGAAGGTGCTGTGCCTGCCTTTAGCATCTCTGTAAGGCATTGGGGTATGCATGGTGATCTTGTGGCATGCCTGCTGGCCTCGCATCTGCCACCAGCCGTGTGCCCTCAGGTTGTACCACACCATGTCCACGCTGAGCTTTGCCTTTCACCACGTCCTGAGCTTGCCCAAGCCTGTGGCCTTGTCTGGCTGGAGAGCAGAGGCAATCTCCTGCTCAGAGCCGGTGCAGGACTGGACCTCTCCGTGCCTCCATGCTGGTCTCCTGCCTGCAGAGGCTGGAAGGAAGATCCTGCCGTTGCTCCCACTTCCCATGACATGTGTGTCTAGGGATGTTCTCGCTCACCAGGTCGCCTGGCCACTGGCGCTGGAGCCTGGTTACCCGGGGACCGGGAGTTTATATTTAGCACTGCTAATGGAGCAATAGGCTGTCCCAGTCCCCGGCCCCAGCAGGAAAGGTTCATACAGGGATGTCCTAATGAGACCAGAGCAACTTCCTATTCGTTCCTAAAAGGAGCAGTCTAACAAAGCTGCCAAAAATAAACCTGTTTAATGACGAGCCTTTGTAAATTATTCAGATATTATATTCCACTCCAGCACTGGTTCAAGGAAAGAGGCTGTACAGACACTTTCTTCTCTGAAACTGTGGACACAAGGTGGAAGTCATGCTGTCATTGCAATGGAAATGTAGGCTCTAAGATCCTGCTTTTACCCTGAGAATACTGTCTCTTTTACCTGGAATTAAAGAGAAAGAAATAAAAAAAGACACAGCAGCAGTTCAGGCCCTGAGACAAGGAAGGTTTTTTTCCTCCCCCCCGCTTCAGGACCACTCTTGAGTCCCAACACCTAAAGCTGACCATGTACACAAGTGTTTTGCAGGATCAAGTCTGAGAAATTTGGGCTTCCCTGGACACTGCATGCCTCAGTGCGGTGTGGACAGGACCTCGCTGGAGGTAGCATGGTTCAGCCAGCGGTTCCTCCTTCGCTTCTCAGTTGTGGTTTGAATGCTATGGACTCTTTCTGGTAGAAACAGGACTGACACCCACCAAACTCATTAAATTTCAGCTGCCATCCATACACCAGCTGCTAATAAATCCCAGTCCCTCCCCAGGATGTAAAGCCTGGCTTTGCAGAGTGCCATCCCCCACTGCCACCCCATATTGAGACATGTGTGAGGCATTTTATGAGGTACAGTGGTTGGCAGCTTGCGGGCTATTAGCCCATGCCACGCTGCTGGTGCTCACAGGCTTCCTCCCTTCCACCCTCCCTGTTTTCCCAGCCCATCTTCGCAGGCAGCAAGGCAGCGGGGCTGGCTCCTGCTGTGCGCAGCCCTGCAGCTTAGCTCTTGCTGGGGCTGGCCAGAGGAGCTGCCTATTTCTGCTCACCAGCAGCTCTGCTGGGTACGTGCCTGACCTCGATGGCTTGCGCACAGCAGCAAAACCCTTGTGCAAAGTTTCCCTGCTGACTTTAATGTGGAACCACGTGGTTTCCAGTGCTTTGAAGCTGCAGGGGTTAATTCTGTGTTTTGCTTCAGCCTCTCAGGACTACATTTATGTTTCTCTTCTTGTGTTTCCTTGCACCTTGCCATCAGCAGTTTGCTGTTGCAGACAGTCAGCAGGGACTGCATGTAGGAAGGGGTAGCATCTCTTGGGGCACAAGGAGGGGCGCTTGGGACAAGGGAAGCATTTTCATGGAGCATGTCTCGGTCAGGATCCCTCGGGTGGGTTGCCTGTGGGCCATTCCCACACATCCCGTGACGTAGCCCTGCTCTCCCAGAGCAGAGGTTGCTTTCTTCCCTCTCCACACACTGCTGTGATAGGCCGCACACAGACTCATTGCCTGCGACTCAGGTCAGGCCCCCACAGGGACGTCAAGGGTTTGCAGGACCCCGGCAGCATCCCCAAGGGCCAGAGCAGAGGCTGGCAGGGGGCTGGCATCCTGGCAGCAGGCTCCCACATTGCTGAGCTGCCTGGCAGCCCCTCGCCTGCCCCTGCCCCTTCCCTCTCCCAGGAGTCGCTGCAATGCAGCCGCTCAGACGCCTCTGCAGCACTGTGGCTGCCTGTGGGGAGGAGCACTGCCGGCTGCCTGGTTTGCTCTGAACGTTCATGGCTCGCGTGGAGGCAGATCTCACAGCTAAGGGCCTGGGGACCAGGCTGTCCGTGCAGCACCTACAGTACAGCCCACCCTTTCACCACCCACCTGCCGCGGCTGGGCCAGGGCCCCGGCTCCCTGCCACATCCAGGCCAGCTCCTGTGGGATCCGAGGCCACACTGTCCCTTATCACTCTTCTTATCACGGGGATTATTGGCTTTTTATATTAAACTTTCTCCAGATAGCATAACGCAATCTACCAGACGCCTGGCAAGGGCTTGGCAGGCCCAGGAGTGATTTATAAGCAATCTGTCTCTGCAGTGTCTCTTTCACATACAGGCTGTTTCCTCCTCTCCTTCACCACCTCCCAACTCTCCCCATCTCCGCTGCTATCAGCCATGCAAATCTCCCTGCTGCAGCAAAAGGCTGGAATGAGCCATGGGGCTGCCCCACAGAAGACGGGTCCCGCATGCCACCAGCCGGGACAGCAGCGCCCGCCCGGCCCCGGCCTTCGGGCCCTGCCACGTCCAGGCGGGCGGACGGCTGCCCAGGTAGGAAATGTTCTTATGACATCGGTGGTGACGCCAGTGCCGTGGCTGTGCAGTAAGGTGGCTGCATCCCATGGGGGTGTAGCCCGTGTCCCCTGGCATACGCCCTGCTGTTCATTATCATATTTCTCACATCTTCCTTTGAAATATCTGCTGCTGGCCTCTGTCAGGGACAGATATTGAGCCATTGATCTGATCCTGCCCTCTGCAGTCACCCACAGCCTCCTCTGCTCTGCCAGGCATGGGGGCAGGCCAGAGAGGCAAAACCCCTCCATTACAACTGCTGACTTAAACACTGTCCTGGGAATTGACACGAGGGTGCAGCATTTGGACAGCAAACATAAGGCAGGCTCCCGATTTAGTTACTGACACCTTACTCAAGCAATAATTCGAAGCTGTCTCTGAACCCCGAAGCTGGGCTGGTTCCTACAGTCAGTCCCACTTCTCAGCTGCAGCACTGTCTGCCTGGCTGAGAAGAGGAAATCAGCACGTTCCTGCACTCAGCCTGGACCGAATGCAGGGTCCTGGTGCAATGGCTGCTCTGTCCGCTGCATCCCTTGGCAGATTTCACTGCTCGTCGCTGAGATTCCCCTGCCAAAGCCAGGGCCCTGTGCTTGGCAGAGGGGTCAGAGCTGGAGCTCAGCAGCCAGGGCCGGCGCTGGCTGGGGTGGCTTCATGGGGTCATTCTTTGTCTTGAACTCCAAGGAGCAGCTGATAACCCCGGGAGCTGGCAGAAAGTATGTGCTACCCTCTCAGTGCCCTGGCAGTACCAGTGCTGCCACAGAGGCTGCCCGGCACATGGTGTAGGGACAGCCTGGGGTGACCTGCTGGTGTCTCCTCACCTGCTCCCAAAGGTGCTCATCTGCCATACATCCCCAGCCCAGCCTGCATGCTGCCCAGTGCTCTCTTCCCCCTATTTCAATGGCAGTGATCCAGGGCTGGGGTCCTGGGCAGCGTGGGCTCACGGGGAGGTGAGCAAGACCTACGGCAGCCAGCAGTGTGGCACACAAACACAGCCTTGGCAGTGCACCCACCAGATGCCATTCTACAGTGCTGTCCCTCACCCCCATCACTGCCCAGCCCCGACTGCTCTGTCCCCCGGGACACCTAGATGCTCACGACGGGACACGGCAGAGCCCCAGCAGCTCAGCTCCCACACAGGGCAGCAGACAAAGCGCTTGTTCTTCACCATATCCCCACATTACTATGCCCTTTTCCTGGGGAAGCTGTCTTGCTGCTTGCCCTCAGAGGCAAAAATGAACCTCATCCCCCTCATTCCAAATTCCCCGCCTATACCAAGAAGAAAAATGAGAAACTGCCCCATGGATGTGCACAGGTCCCAGCCAGGGATGGCCTGTGGGCAGAAAGGGCCTTTATCCAAGGAAGAGCCTTGGTCTGAGCAGGCTTTTTACAGCTGGTAAAACATTTTCACCCTCTTTGATCCCGTTTTATCAGTGACTTGGAATAATTGGGTTCCATTCCTCATGGTGGCTGCCCCCCGCTTCTGCTGTGGCCTGTGTTTTTGCTGCAGACTGATTAGGGGTAATTATCATCCTTTTTTCCAGCTGAAGTGCAAGGAACAGTTCACACTCCTTGCAGGAAGCAGGAAAGGGATTTTGCAGCTGAGGCATGATGAGGAAACACATGGCAAGGATGCCTGAAATCGCCCGCTCCTGGGCCAGAGCTGGGACAGCATCAAGCTCCAGAGAAGGGCTTAGCTCTGGGTCGTGTCTCTGAGGCATTTGGTGGGAGATAAACAGGAAGTTTGAAGCTATAATACAGTCAGGAGGTCCAGGGGAATCCACTGACCCTTTGACCATGAGGAGGCTCCTGGGCTGATTAGTTTCCAGAAACAGCTTTTGAATCCCTCTGCATACGAAATAGAGACTGAACCTGATGGAGGCAGTGATCAGCAGGGGCTGGAATGGGCAAAGGAGGGGCTTCTAGACCAGGCCTGCTGTGTGTCATGGGCATGGCAAGGACTCTCACCTCTCTCCTTCTCTGTTTCCCTTGCTGGACAAAGGGAGTAATGAGATACCAATTTTAAGGTCAAAGGGATCATCCAGGCTTTCCTCCTGCCTAATGTGAGGCAGATAATCTCCCCCCTATATCACATTCCTCCTGCCCCTGTGCAGGATCAGTGCTCATCTACTGCATGGGAGCTCCATCAAATGAATATTTGCAATGATTTCTGAGATTTGCACAGGGAAGACAGTTTACTACACCTTCAAGTGTCTTCCTGTACTCAGCTAGTTCAGCAGCGCTGCATTCCAGGTAGGGAGAACATTTCTTTCGGACCTCAATTTATGACAAAACACTGAAGCATGAGCCTGGATTGATTGCATAAGGAGATTGTGTCTTAGTAACTCGTGTGAATGCTGCAGCAGCTGTGCTAATTCATCATTCCTTTATTTATGAAATCTATGTGCAGGTTGAGTGCAATTAAATGATGTGCTTTGGGATCCTAGGGGATGAAAGGATCATGGTAAATGTAGGTTTGTTATCCTGATTTACTGTGCACTGAGCCCACCTACAACAGCCATGACAAACCAGATGAGAAACATAAGGTTTAAAAAACTGTAATCCAGCAATTGCTGTCACAGGCTGCATTTGTCAGCGTGTTTGATCTGGGTGCCTTTCCCCCTCTTTTCAGAGAACTCAAGTCTCCTTGTGGCATCTTCCTGTGACAGGCAATTGAAGAGCTTGTAAAAATAATTTTGGGGGAGGCTGAAACATATGACACCTGCTCTGCAGTAATAACACCTGGCATGCTTAGGCTTTAGGAAGAGACCTTATGCACCTTGCAGGTACTTATTAAGTACCTCCTGTGGCCTCCTGGGCAGCATTTACAGACCGGGACCTGCAGCACAGAGAAGGAGATGAAGGAGCTGATGCGGGGGGAGTCCTGGCTTATGCAAGGTTAGCACTACTGTCATGATTTTACTAGTATAAAGGTGCTTTCATTTATCAAAAGACACATTGCTTTCCTTTTCCTTACTGTAAGGGCTGTGCTGGCATGTGATGGGAACTGCTGACCGTGCACTGGCCAGGAGGGGGTTAAAGAGTGGTGGGGGCCCGATCCTGATCTGAAACACCTGGGTCAGGAGGGGAAGGAGGTATTAAAGGGGTGGAGCTGGCTGGGAGCAGGCTGGTGGCACCTCTGTGGGCCTGTGGCTTGCTAGTGCCCTCCTGTGGGAGGCGAGGCTGGTGGTGGGTCTTCTATACTCCTTTGTGGCATGCTGGGGCCGATGGGTCTGGATGCATGCCCAGGGCTGGAGGTGGTGCTGGGGAGACTGAGATAAGGCAGTTGCCGGGTGCCATGGGCAAAGGGGTGTAACTCAGGATGAGGTGCTGTGAGACAAGCCTAGCTGTGACCTGCTGGCACGTGTGGGTGTCTGGCATAGGCTGAACTGACATGGTTTGTCCTCAGCTCTTGGTAGGTACTACCGGACCACCCTCTGGCTGCAAGCTGCAGCCACCCTATCCTCTTCATTGGAAAACATGCCCTGCTTTCTGTTGACCCCTGGCTTTTCCTGCTTCTCTGTAATGACTCTGCCTCTGTCCTCAGATCAGAAACCCCTCTCGGTGCCTGGGTTGTGCTGTCAGGAGTGCCGGTTCTGCTGGCATGAACCCAGAATGTGCCACTGATGCATGAACAGGCCCTCAGCATCACAGGCATGATGCAAAGGCCCTGGTGTTTTCTAATGCAGCCTTGCTGTTGTGGCCTGCCCCACAGCAAGCACTGGGCATGCAGCTCCCTCCCGGAGGAACCTGTGTCTCCATTCAGGGTAGTAATGGCAGAGAGTTTGGGGAGGAAGGGGTGTGCTTGCCTTTCCATGTGCTTTGAACATCGTTACAGATTAAGTAGGGAGGGTGTTTGACACAGCAAGGTTGTATGTACATCATGCTGCTTCAGCCTGTCCAAAGCGAAAAGCTGAATGCTGGAGTAACTCTTGTCCCATGACAGTGGGAATGTGCCGTTGCTCCCTCAAGGACTTGGGCAGCTCCCAGGGTGCTGGCAAGGGATGGGGGTGAAGGGCAGATGGGCCAAAGAGGAGTCAGGGTAGATGGCAAAAGCAGGCAGAGGAAAGTGGAAGCCCAAGGAGCAGTGGTGAACCTCTGTGAGAAGGGGAGAACTCAGGGTGGGAGTCCAGCGTTTACAGCTGGGGAGGGAATGAGCTTTGTTTTTTAAAAAAAAAAAAATCCCACCCAGTAACTGAAATGGTGTGAGTGACCCCATCACCCCTAAACCTGCAGATTATGGTCAGTGGGTCTCTGGGCTGGATGGAAAGTGTGCTCTGGCCCTTAATTGTGAGCTCATTTTAAAAACACGCATATGAGAAATAGCTCAAGTTTCCTCCCAAGTGCCTGGGTAGGAGTTGTTTCGCCTTGCTTTGTTCCTTAAGCATCTGTACACACCATGAATTCAACTGTCCCTGCACAGTCCTCACCGGGCAGTTTGGTGTCTAGTCTGCCTGGCCCTGTGGGGCTGACCTGGGTGCCTGCATTCACTGGCTGGTGGCATGCTCTGCTGCATGCATGAGGGGTGCTCCTAGGGCTCCTGCAATCCCTTCTCCTTGCTCTGTTCCAGACAATACT